CTTCAAAGCAGAACTTGAGCAAAAAAAGAGGGACACTATAAAAGAGAACAACTCCTCTCCCACTTAAAGGAAAAAAAGACCAAGAAGATTGCAATGCTGTCTTCAGACCCCATGACAAGAAGCAAGAAATAGACATTAAGCAAGTTTTCAGAGCAATTGGTGCAGGGAGGCTCCCCCAGGGTGGGCAGAAACACCAGGGGGCCCACTTACTTGTATTGCTGTACACACGGCCCTTCTATAGGTAGGACTGGATGCCCCCACCAACCACGGTGCAGCCCTCACTGGCATCTGTCAGGGGAGGGGGCAGTTAGTCAGAACCAACCCCGTAGCCATCTATCTCCCAGACGACAGCACAGCCACCAGCCCGCACACCCAGGATGCCTGCTCCCTGTATGGGGCCAACGGTAAGAGGAACCTGAGTGTCCACCACCACTGTGTCAGAGGCAGGTTTTGGTCACATTTCTGAGTTTTCATTTTTTTTACCCCCTTGAGCTCCTTTTACAGGTCTTATCAGCTCAAGTCTGAATTATGAGCAACAGAGGCAATATAGAGAAAGGGAGAGGAAGGAATAAGGCTCCGGTTTTCTATTTTGAAGAACTAAGGCCTCTGGGAATAACTGGAACGTTTTGTTTCCTTCCAGCCAAAGGCAGAAGGAGAGACTATTAACAACAGAACACACCAAAGCTGAAGCTCAGTGTTGGGGAGACAAACTATAATTCGAATTTCGTGACAGTCTGTGCTTGACAAACTAAAACTAGCTGCCCTGGCCATCCTAATAAATACATAAGTAGTAAATAATAATGATATGGGTCTCATTATGGATCACTTGGCCCTTCCCACCTCTTTTTGGAGTCATTACCCCCGCCCCCCTTCACTTCTCCTAACTTTTAGTCAAAATGTGGTGCATTCTGTGTTTTTCCTTTCTCTCCTAAGTGACAAAGGTTCCCCCTGCACATCCACAGGTCTCCCAGCCCCTTCTCGGGTCCCTTGGGAGTGCTGACTATCCGGGTCCTGCTGGCTGTCCCTCCCAAAGGACCCGTGGCCCCAGCAGCCTACCTTTCTTGGGCTCATAGCTGCCGCCTGAGGGCCGGTAATGGGACTCCAGCGGATGCGTGCCTGCCTTGCCCGCGTCGCTGGCCGCCTTGGGCGCCGCGTGCAGCGCCTCTCCTGGGCCCGCGGCCGCCGCGTTGTACCGCAGGAGCCCCTGGCCCTGCAGCGCCGCGTTCAAGTTCCCGTAATTTGTGTAGTTGCCATAGAAGGGCGACGTGTAGTAGAGGTGGCGGCCGAGCAGCGGGGACGCG